ACATACAGAATCATAACTGTGAAATAGTAAGGGACAAATGTTAACTTAAAACTTTTAACCATTTCTTTGTGCGCCGGGTCGGAGAGAGTGTTGCCCCTCCCTCCAGGTTGTGCAACACGAACAAAGACGCCTATGAGACGATTTGTAACGTCTGTGTTTTGGGTTCATGAAGAAGGCCAGACAAGAGATAAATTGCACCCAGACAGAGAGACGACTTCGAGACAATTTGTAACATCTGGTTGTTTGCTCGTGGGTTTTATGGAGGGAGTTGACAACGGAATATACCGTCAGTGATGCACACAAGGACATACGGACACACACATGGACACACCTGCCTACGGACAGATCCTGACACAGCAAAAATCGGAAGCCCCGCCTTGTGGGCGGGATCCAGGGGGATTTTTCAGCATAAAGGAACGGATCCTGAACATTGGAAACCAGTGCGACGGGAGGGTCCACTCAGAAGCTCGACCGGGAGGGTCGACTCAGGAACGAGTGTGACGAGAGGGTCCACTCAGGAGCGCGACCGGGAGAGTCGGCTCAGGAGGAGTGCGACCAGTGGGTCCACTCAGGAGTGCGACCAGAGAGTCGACTCAGGAGCGAGGGCGACCAGCGGGTCGACCCAGGAGCGAGCTCGACCGGGAGGGTCGACTCAGGAGCGAGCTGCGACCAGCGGGTCGGCTCGACTCATCTTCAGCTCGTCAATCTCTGCTGCCGCCGGAGATCTCCGCTGCCGCCGGTGGTGAGCGTCGCGACTTGGCGACGATCCAGCGCTGCACGCTACGAGCGAGTTGTGGGCGCCACCTACCGACCGGGTTCCGAACTGCGACAGCGTATCAACAGCCATCCGAGCCAATTCACCACGGTGACAGGGGAGCGCCTGATACGTATGACGCGCACCGCCCCCTCACCACACGACCACCAGGCGTCTGTTTGACATAAAGAATCGACTCCGAACACTGACTATTCAAGACAACTCTTACCACTCAAACACACTCGAACCCATAAGTCATCCGTGGCTGGGAAGGCATCACAACGAGACCGAGTGGTGGCCATCCGTCGTTTATAAGAGTATTCTTAATTTTTATCTTTAATATTTAGTGGGCTGTACTCTTAATCGCATAAATTCCCAACAGATCCATCAATACGAACTGATTCTTGGCACCTCCTTCCGCCGAGCCACGCTCACGTGGGGAGTGGTGGCCCACCGGATCCTTATCAGGTGATCTGGTCCCCAATTAGTAAACTTGGTATAAGATAACGATCTTCGGAAAAGGAGCACCGTCGCAGGCCCTTACTCCGAGCCGTTCTGAGATAACCTGCCGATGTATCTGTTGAGATTGGTGCCTTTAAGAATAATAACTGTTTTTGATTGTGTTTTTTTTTCGCCGTATAATCTTTCAAGTATCTTTCAGTCATAATCGCCGCACGTACTCGCATCCTCTACAGAATATTCAACTGTTCCGTGACCCAAGGTGTTAACAACGTGATAAGGGTTGCGTATGATCAATAAGGAGTGCGGTACTGCGTGAACAATATTGAGTATAATCATTCATTAACGTTAAGGTTTTCTTAGCATAATATTTGCATGTTTTAACGACTCTCTCTCTCACTAAGAACCATCGCGTTATGCGGGATCCATGTGCAGTTGTCAAAGTGAAATCAGACAATCGTTGATGATACTGTATTGATGCCGTATTGACGTTCCGGGATTGAGAGTTCGCATACTATATCATAGTTAAGGTTGAATTAGTAATAAATTGATCAATACAGAAGTGGTTGTGTGATTCTTTCCTGAAATCTATGCATAAGATCTGCTTCTGCGTTGAGATTTGAACTTGGTGACCTTAATAAACACACTAATACATACTCAGTAAATGTTAAAGCGATAACGGGGTGAACCGGGGTCTGGTTATCATAACGACTTGCGTTATCATAATTACACCCACTCGCATAATTAATACGATTACCTCTCGAATTGGCATAATTAAAATGTGCGTAATTACATAAATTAACATATTTCCGGATAATTACACATTTGGCCAAATTTCATTTAATTATTATTATTTCCACTGAATATTCATAACCCACATATACAACATAATAATTTCACCCACGCACGCATACAACATAACAAATTTTCATACCCAACATATACAACAACGTGCTCCAGCTCACTGGCTAGGTGGTGCTGGTCGGATATGCAATGGGCCTTATGGTGGGCTGGATGGTGGTGGGAGTCAGGCTTTAGATAGGCATCCGTGTGGGTGGCTTTCCTGTAGACAATGTCCCAACATTCAGCAGTTACATTGGGGAAACGAAACGACATGTCTCGGACCGTGTTCGCAAACAGATCTGAAGCATGGTAGGACCAATTCCTCTGCCGTTGCGGATCATTGTTTTAATGCTGTGGGCACACACGAAATACATTTTTCCAAGACGAAGGTACTCTGCAAACCCACTGGCTATCAGAGATTTGTTTATGTAGCCATCCAGATATATAAACACAGACACAACTTAAACCGAGAAGATGGGTACAAATTGAGCAAGCATTGGAAGGACGTGATTAACCAGGTAAAGTCTTAACCTGCTGTGATGTTTCCAGCCTTCCTGTGATTTTAGCTGACTCTCTGAGTTGCATGATTAGGTTGGATAGCTTTGTATTGACGGGCTGGATGTCCTTCTCGCTTAGTCACCGATGCTGCGACATACTAGGCAAGTCACCGATGCTGTGGCACACGAAGCTCGTGCATTGATATGCTAATATCTCACAATACAATAGCCACTTCCACAGCCTCAGGCAGACCATCTCTAGCCCCGCCCTCTTACCCTGAGGCTGCACCCATCTCAAGCCTACATAATACCTTGTTTCAGTAGCTTTCTCTCTCTCACCTGAAGACGGTCGCTTGTGTTGTGATCAAAACGTCGTGATCTATTAATAATTTTCTATCTACGTGACTTTACCGAAAGAAAAAAAGAGTATGGATTCCTGCAGTCACAAAAGCTTCAAATCAAGATTATACTACTTGTTTAACCGGGAAAGTCTCACGGAGTCTCAAGACTCTTTTTTTCAGGAGTCCTGCCAGATTTTGCAGCAGGGGGGAGCGGGCGATGTTGCGTATAATCCCTAAATGAGTAATTTCCAGGTATCTTACTTAACTCCACGCACTTCGAATTTCCGTCATTCTCAGGCACCCGAGTCGGGAAACGGAACACAGGCCATTCGTGATAAGCCACTCAATTGAGCCATCATTTATGATAGCCAGGTCGCTTCGGAAAAATAAGCTGATAGTTCAGAGGGCTGTCCCTGATAAAATAAAAATAGTAAATTTTTATTTTTAAAAATAGTTTATTTTTATTTTTGTGTGATTTGCTTACCTTTCCTATATGTTGTACTCCTATTGTGTTTTGCATAGTTTGTTGTAACTTTCTGTCCCCTTGCCACCTACTGGACATCTGTGAAAAAGAGTTTTTCTAGCTCATTGGATTGGATTCCTCCTGCACTATAAATATAGATTCTGATTCTGAATCCGCCCCATCCCGAACTCGCAGAGCTTGTCATGAACTCACTACAAGTCTGCATTCATACAACCATTTAAATCACAATTGGCTACAGTATACACAGCTTACGACTTCAGTTGTTTTTTTCAGGAAACGGACTCTCTGCCTGGGAGTCCCAGTCCTCGATGGTAATGCGTGCGGGTGGATTGTATTGGCGATCGGAAGAGAAGGGCAACGTGTGGTTGCCCTTGGAGAAAATACCACTTCATGATTAACAATTTTTTATTGTAACAAAAGCCTCTGTGAGTCTTCAAATATTTTTACCGGCAGGTTACCTCATTTAATAATTTTTGTTCAATCAATGTTGATTGACTCAATCCACTGGTATGACGTTGCCATCACAGTACTCAAGTGACCGAAGAGTCCTGCCTGTGTTTCAACCGGAGTTTGGAAAATGCCTTAAGCGGAGTTTGTTTCCTTGTCAAACTGGAGCCATGAGCCACCACTGCTAAAATTACATTTGTCTCTGATTTTTTTCAGTTTGCGCTTATGTCCGGCCACCTGGTTGATGTGTTTTGAGTTGGGGCATGTTCAGCACTTTACTCATCTCCTGAAAGCTACCGCAGCCACGCAAACAGCTCACTTAACTGGAGCGAAGAGCCTTTTTCCGCCCCCCTTCTTGAAAAAGGGACCATCGCAATTTGTTTCAGCGAATTCACCGCAACGTTTTGAGAGGCTTAAACGAGAAGGATGGGCAATTTTGCTTCTGCTACGCATACAAAAATCTTAGTTTTTTTTTCATGTACACTACACGTACGGCCTGAACACATTCACCGTCATGCCATAACTTGGCACGTATGCAAACCAGGGATAAACTGTAGCATCCCAATGCACTATATACAGTTTTTTTTATGACTTGAATACTTATAAACCAGCCAATATAGAGATATAGTCTTCACTTTCCATTTTAGCAATCACTAAAACAATGGGTTTCCTAAATTGGGCATGGAAAATTAATAATCTACTTTGCATAAACATGAGTGTAAAGACATACAACAGTAGTACGGTACAATTATAGATTATAATTAAATTTAACATTCATTTTGGTCATTTAATTTACTGTGCCTGGAAAGCATCAGAATGTCACCAATTGCGAACGCGATCGCTCTGACCGAGTAACGCGGCCACGTAACACGGCTGGGTAGCGCAACTGTGTAACACAGCCGAGTAAACAAAACCGGGTAACACAGTCTGGTAACATAGCGGAGTAACAGCCTGGTAACACAGCCGGGTAACAACCAGGTAACACAGCTGGGTAACACGGCCAGGTAACACAACCGGGTAACAACTGGGTAACAAAACCGGGTAACGCGGACGGGTAACGCGGCTTGGTAACGCGGCCGGGCGACACGGCCGGGCGACACACAAGTGCCGTGATGATGTTGTCATGTGGGGAAGCGCCGCTCCCCCTCCGCCCCCCCTCCGCCCCCCCAGCCGTTGTGGATTCCAGAATAAAGAATATAAGTGATTATCAAAATGTCGTGCACCCTCGTTCTCAATATTCTCCAATGTAGACCTTGAAAAAAAAGTATGGACGGTTTTTTTTGTGCACCGCGAGTGTTGAATAGTTTCTTCTTATTTCAAAATAATTTCATTGACTAAAAAAAGAGGAAGAGAAGAACTTTAAGTAATATTATGTTACAATCGTATAACCGATTTACAGTTGTGCACCTTACAACATTCAGAGCAGAGTATGCAAATGTGATATATTAAAGTACAACGTACAGTACACTCGATTATCCACGATAATGACGGGGAGGACAGCCGCAGATAATTCAGAATCGCGGATAATGAAATAAATATCCATTTTCTGCGGATCTTTATGCCATAAACCACTAATACAGTTATACATTAGTGGTTTTTTTAAGCAAAACTGACAATTTCGATTCTTGCTCTTTCAATTTAGAACGAATAATAACGATTGATTTATTGATGATGCGTGTGCTCAGTGATAGCACTTTGCTGCTCTAGCGCAGAAGACTCGGCCCACTAAGTGGACAGCAGCAGGGCCAGCCACCAGTCATCAATCAAACTCTACCCACTGTTATGCAACGACTGTACTGTCGAGGCGATCACTTGTATTTCGGATTAACTGGAGCACATATTTGTTCGGTTTAAGCACGTGACTTGTAATAAACATTTCTAAGAATAACTTTAACCGTTTTAAGATAATTTTTTTGAGAATTTGGGCTTAAGGGAAATATCCATGAGTTATTCATTTACGTAAAAATCTCAGGTGTGTACGGATAATCCGCAAATCGGATAAAACGCATGCGGAAAATGGATTCCACGAACATTATTTGCTCACGTTTCCTCGATAGGTACCACATTTAGCCAACGTTTCACATTATTGTTATGCACGATGAAGAATTATCCAATTAGCTGCTCAATGTACCCGACTGGCTGACAGAAAATATCTTTAAACATTAAAAATAGTAAATTTGTGTGTTTTTTATAATATAGTAAATGTTGAATGTGCTTAAAACTGCAGTAAGCAAATTAACAAAACAATTACAGATTATTGCAGCATATTCATCAACTCAATAAAATGGTTCTGATAATAATCCTGGAGAACATCCACATGTTAAGTGTAAGAATAAGAACACCGACTCATGTTTAAGTGTGGGTTTTAATCACTGCTTAATTTGGACCGTTGATGGGCATGCATGTGAGCAAGGAGAAAACGTGTTTAAATAAAGTGATTAAACATCAATATAAGATCGTCAATGTACTGTGTGTACACTTGGTTGGGTATTCACAATATATTACAATATTCTAAACTTCAGCCTCCTGTTCTGGGATTTTTATTTAAAAGTGTGGAATTACAGGGTTCTCCGATATTGCTTGAGTGAAAGTCAACACAAGCTTCTGACTCACACGTGACATTGAACACTTTTGAATTATAGAATGGCGGTTGGAAATTAATTAAGCTGTATCGTTGCTTTATGGTGGAACTTTTACTTAACTCTCCAACACACCGGTATGTGCTGTACTAATGTAATGACAGGGTGACACCTGCTGGCTTATAGGGGTAATTATGCTTAGAGCTGCATTACATAATACCTTATTATGAAGGGGTGTATCTGGGGTAACGGTGAAGGGTGGAGTCAGTCGAGACGCTCTGGGAACCAACCCGGGTTCTAGAGAGGGGGCGTGGCCAGAGGTGGAGCTTGACCATGCCAGGCAGATATAAGGAGCACCGAACCAGAGCTTCGGGGGTGTTCATGTGGGGTCTGGTTTCTGGTTGCGTCGCTGCCGTTGTCATCTCTTTGTCTTCGACCACGTAGCTGTTTTGCAAGATCAGCTCTGTTGTCGCTGCTACGCTCGTCAATCAGCCAGCGTAGCGCAGGACAGAGATGGGCTGCGTGTTTGGACAGCCTAGGTGTAGCCGCGTTACGAAGTATATTACCCAGTGTGCTCTTAATACATAAGACGCCTTCTATTAGACGTGTGTCGGACGTCGCTCACTACACTAGTGTAGGACCTGAGATGACACACGCCACGCGGTTGGTTGCGGAGCGAGCTTGCAACGGACAGTGGGGGGCAACTGAGGACATAGAGTTGTTGTTGTGCCAATTAAGGGGGGAGGTCATTAAGAGACGCCACAGGTGTTAAGGGTAACTGAGGACGCAGGCCGGTGATTGGTCGAGAGAGTAAGTGTCTACGAAAACAACATCACGTGACATCACATGAGGCAGGGGGCCTGGGGTCGAGTAGCGGAGCGGGGGATGACATAATAAATTGGGCCTGATTGGTTCGGGGATAAAGGCAGAGCATAGCGGAGAAACGGGAGGCTTGGGGAGTGTTGGAGTCGGAGCTGGAGACGGTGCCTGAGACAGAGACGGAGCAACAGAGAGTATAGTATAAGGTATCAGTGAATAAGAGAGTATAGTATAAGGTAGCAGTGAATAGGAGTGGATAGTATAAGGTAGCAGTGAATAAGAGAGTATAGTATAAGGTAGCAGTGAATAGGAGTGTATAGTATAAGGTAGCAGTGGATAAGAGCGTCTAGTATAAAGTAGCAGTGGACAAAGAGAATACAGTATACGGTAGCAGTGGATATAGAGAGTACGGACAGAGTAGCAAGGACGGAGCGAGTACAGCGTAGCGAGCAGCAGAGTATCGGACCTGAGTGGAGAGAGAGAAAGCGAGCAAAGCGGCGAAGCGGAGCGAGCGAACGGAGGAACATTGAACGATGCTGTCGGAGATGTGAACTATATGCGGATTAAAAGGAACGAGAAAGACAAAGAAGTTGTCGCGTCAGTAACAGTCCTACAACTGTTGTTAGAAGTGATTAAAAGAACTACGCCGATATGTCAAAGAAAGTTACGAAGAAGAAGAACGAGCCGGCGGCCTCGTCGGCCGACAGCAGCGACGCGGACGGGATACCTCCATCGGGATTGGAGGCTCCCGCTCCCCCGGAGGACGCGACTGATGGGGCGTCGCCGCGTGACGAGGGCGACCCGAACGACGAGGATGACGAACCAAGCCCGCCTCACGTATGGAGGACTGCGATGGCTGAGTGGGAGGCCAACATGATGGCGCTCGCGAAGGAGTTCAAAAATGATACGAGAGGCGCCGACGGGATCGGACTAGCCGCCGCACGAGCCTGCGATACCAGCGGTGGCCGGCGGCGCAGCTGTGTCTCCCACTACGCCAGGAGCGGAGCCGGACGCCAATGAGGCGCCGGGGTTGCGACTCCGAGCTCACGGCGCCGGCCGCACGTGGAACAGTTGAGGCTTCGCGACGAACCAGCGGTGGTGACGGCACAGCCTCTGGTGATGTGCGCCGGCGTGACCGGGGTATGTCGGAGTCAGAGGGACCGGGGTCGCTGGCAGCAGTGGCAACTGTGGCTGCTCGCGAGCCTGCCTCGCCACCCCGCGGACGAGCTACGAGTACGGGCGTCGAGGACGCTTCGCACGGGACTGCTGGAGACGAAGAGGCGTCTTCCCGCGGTCATCAGGAGACTACAACCATGGATTCTTCCCATCCCAGGACTATCAGGCGAGTCGTGACACATTTAAAATACAGCCGTATCCTTCCCATCACCCATCCGCGACACCACACACTGAAAATTTCCCTTCGTACGCATCGCACGGTAATGCTGTATGGGGCACGTTAGTTCATCGCGTTTTTGTACCGCGCCATATTCGTCGGATGTGGTGGCGTTGTTCAAGGGGTACAGATTAGAGTAATTGTCGATATGGGGGCTTCGGCGACCCTCTTTTCTTGGAAATTTTTGTTAGTTGCCAACCTCGCCCAAAAATTTGGAACCATTTTTTAAAGTTGGGATGGTGTGTGTAACGGGATACATTTTTGTTTCATCTGTTCTGGCCGTGCCATGTTGTTGGGCACAGATTTTTGCAAAAGATGGCAATTAATATTTCGAGTGAAAAGGAACGGTTGGAATTGCCATCGGGAAAATGCCTTACATTTTTGGAAAGTCCATCTAAATGTGCTACGATGATTGGGGCAACGATTGTGACGATGTTGACGTTGATGATGCCGATGATGATAACAATGATAACAATGATTGTGCCGACGATGACGACGTTGACGATGATTGTGCCGACGATGACGACGATGACGATGATTGTGCCGATGAGGACGATGATGTTAACGATAGTGATGATGATTGTGCCGATAAGGACGAGGATGTTAATAATGATGACGACGATGTTGAGTGAGCAACGGGTGTGGTTATTAATTAATTTAAGTGTGGTTGTCGAACAGTGCGTGTTCCGCCTGCGACGCTGAAGCTCGTGCCTTTGCGCTTGAAAGTGCCTGTTTTCGGATAACTGGGAGAAAAGAGTAAATTGTTGACACCATCAAACGCCGTGGCACGGACGCCCTCCTTGGCCGGGGTTTTTACGATGGTGCGGGAAAATTGCGAGCTATTTATATAAATTGTCAATAAAACGGAATACGAATAAAAAGGAATAAAAAGGAATACGGATAGAAGGAATAACAGTTAAATGAATAAAAGTTAAAACACATTAAAGTTAAAAGGAATACGAATAAAAGGGTCACGAGTCAGTTGTTAGTTAAAAAGGGAATACGTTAGAGTCAGTTGTTATTTAAAAAAGTGTAATGCGGGCGTAAACGGCCTCGCGGATATGACCTCACGGGTGGAGGAGTTAGGTCACGTGAGAGAGAGGGATGAGGTCTTAAGGGAGAGATACCGGAAGAGATGGGGGGGAGTTGGAGATAGAGACAGAGTGAGGCCACGCAGGGCGGAGGTTGGAGAGTGGCGAGATCGCCACACACACAGTAAGACTCGGCACCGTCGGCCAGCGGTGACCGAGCACGGAGGAACGGGGAGCAGCAGTGGGGCTGCAGTGAGGGCAGCCGGAGGCCTGCACGAGGGAACCAGCAGCGGAGCTGCATCGGAGTGGAGCTGCCAAGCGGGGAGGCTCTGAGCGAGGGCCATGTGGGACAAGTTGTAAAGAACCCGAATAAAGGACAACGGAGACAGACACAGTGAACGAGTCCTTTATTACACTGGTGTCAGAAGTGAAACAGCATGTCAAAACAACTCAGAAGAAAGAATATTCCTGCTCCATCATCTGCTACATCATCCGACGACGACGACCTTCCT